AAAGGGGAGGTGGGGTGGAGGGGTGGGGGGGGGGGGGATTATTTCCAAGAGAGCGGATATACAATTGCAATGTGAACTCAGAGATCTTTCCAGAGGCAAAAACTGACAGTGAATGGGCAGATGTTTCTCTATAATGTATACAATTAGGCATTGTATAATATAATACAGTTTCTAAATATGCATAATTGGGACAATAATGCATGGAATACACAACTGATAAAGCCATATTTTTGTGACTTAATACATGATTGATAATATATCTCAGACTTCATCTCAGTGTATCTCCTAAGAAGGCCATGAATCCAAATGTTAATAACTGTCATTAGTCTTTATTTTGGAATTCTTTTAACCCACATATTTTTATGGCATGGCATATAGCTAGATTTAAAAAAAAATCTGAATAATTTAAAAAAATCTAAATAATTTTTTAAAAAAACTAACATGTTGATTTCTTTAACTTGATTTTTATCCAACAGATATTGGTACAGATATAGGAAGCAAATACAATTCACTTCCAGAATACAAGCTGTTATTAAATAAATAAGATATTTTTAATGGAAAGATAACAATAGAAGAGTATATCATTCCCAAGAGCAGCATGGCTATTAACTGCTGGCAAATTTATAGTGAAAGGGAATTATTAACATTCTTGGGGGGAAACTAGCATTTCCAGAAATACAACAGAAAAATAACATAAGTGAGCAACGTACAGTACATATGCAAATCAGTGGCCATGAAATAGAAAACTAGGGAAGATGTATTGGACTACCGCTTCCATAATGCTGGACCATTGGCCATGCTGGTTGGTGTTTATGAGAGCAAGAATTGAAGACCTCGGGGGGGGGGGTCTTAGATTGCCTGTTCTTGGAACAGAGCACCCTTGAAGATGTCATGAAACAAATAGTTTGAATGAACTAAATAGGTAGGAGGAATAAAGTTAAGACATTTTCCAGTTACCAGATAATATACTTGGAATTCTGTCAAGAAATACAACATCTTCATGGAAGATGCCCTGCCTTGAAGAAGAAAAAAATGATATTCTTGGGCAAATAGCTCTGCTATTATTGTGTAAAAAAATAATAATAATAAAAGCAATAAACCAGTCATTTACCAAAGAACGGGGCGTAATTAGAAGAGGAACAGAGCTAATTTAATTAAATCATCAGTATTGTCTTTTTAGTATAATTTCCAAATACTTAGGATTATCTCATAATTCTTCTAACAGAACTGTAAGGGAGGAGAAGGACCCCGGGGCCCTTCAGATGTTGCTGAAATGCCGCTCCCAGCATCTCTCACTGTTAGCAGTGTTGGCTGGAGCCTCTGGAAATTGTAAGGGAAGTCAGCATTGCCATGTACCATACTGGGAAGCGTGGTGGCGATGTGAGGTTGAAATAGGCTGTAAGACTACACACAGAGATATGAAGATCTGCACTAAATGGAATAACTTCTTATTTAGTGCATATTATGTTCCACCTTTCTTCCCTTAGGGAAGCACTTTTGGGATTTCCCAGGCCATCTTCCATCCAAACATTGACCAGACTTAGGCTTGCAAAGTTTTAGGAAGTTTCATTTGTTTACTTGGAAATCCAGTTGAAAAAAGTGCACCAATGGAATTAAACCCAAATTAAATCTGTTGATCAGTTTGTAAAAGGTAATAGTTTAATTCCTAAGCCTATTAATTGGGTTACCCAACCCACCACCCAATACAATATTAAGCATATTGTTTCTCATTAGGAAACTGCAAGTCACTTAAGAAACATTTTAAGAGTTAAGTTTTTTACCTCCTGTTGATGTCAACATGTCTGCTTTAGTTCATAGAACTGAAATTTATCTCCCCATTCTTCCATACTAAGATGTGACGCATTCCAAATTTCAGTTCCCAAAAGGTCCTTTGCAGCACACAGCTGCAATGTGATCCAAGGAAGATGTGACTGCTTTAATAAGTTGCAGACAGGTGCTATGGTCATGCTCCTGCATGCTCCAAAGCGCCTTTTGGGAACTGAATCCGAAGCACTGCCCAACACATACATTTAAAACAATTTTTTTTTAAATTTGTATTTATTGTGTACTTAAATTTTGCATGCTTTGCCGGTGTGTCAAATAGTTAAGACTGATTGTAACCAAGCTCATTTGGATTTTTTCCATTTTAGTCCATTTATTTGGACTGAAATAAAAATATTCTGCTTCAATAGCTGATGCGTTACTCAATATAGGCCTTTCCATCTGTCGCTGACTTGAATTTTACCCATAGCTTATTTTTATCTTCGCAGGACTGTTTAGCAACCTGCCTTAGCTTAGTGAAAATGCAAGATGCTTTTTTTTTCTTTAAATGCATCCATTTGTCCTGTTTAAGGTTTCAGGTTCTGTATAACTATACTCCTAGGAACGAAGATGAATTGGAGCTGAGAGAGGGAGATGTCATTGATGTGATGGAAAAGTGTGATGATGGATGGTTTGTGGGTACGTTTTCCTTAACTTTAATAGAGCCTTAGGTTATATAAGTACCACTTGGCCCAGCCTTTCCTAGCCTGGTGCCCTCAATCTTATTAGGCCTGCAGTCTCAGAATTTCTATCCAGCAGGGCACTTAGAGGGTACCATATTAGGGAAAGCCAAACGCTCTGATTTATTAGGCCTGGCAAATTTTTATACAGAGTTATTGCACTGATCATATTATGTCTAGTTTGCCAGCCATAAAGAACATTCTTGAGATGTTCCCAAATGCCATTGGTCCTTTCACGTATAATATAATCACCCCTACCTTGCTGTTTTGCCTCAGAGATTTCCAGTTCTTGTTGCAAAATGCAGTTTCTACACCAGAGCAGTTCTCCTTCCTTCCTTCCTTCCTTCCTTCCTTCCTTCCTTCCTTCCTTCCTTCCTTCC